GTACATGTATCAAAATTTACATCCTTCATGAAACAGGGACCTGGAAGACAGGAAGTAGATAAAATCAATCCCTGTTGTCATTCAATCCTTTGCATTTCCAGTTGTGTACCGTACTTCAGATGACTGTAATCTTTTTCATAGTGTTCAAGAGGGATTATACCAACTTAAGTTCAGGAAGTACACTATAAAACTTAAACAATCAGCTCTGATACACATTAAAGAGAACAGATACCTTCTCAGTAACATTTTACAGTCCTCATCCTAAACACAAAACATACAACATGAATGAACACTGGGAGTTCTTTGAAATCATTTGAAATGAAATCTTTCCTAGACTATTTTGGTTCACATTCTGAGGGAAAAGGCTTGTTTGACTTGGAAGTGATTTGATGTAAGATGAAGCTGCCTGTTAAGTGATATCCTTTAATTTCAAGTACATTGCCTTGGATCTGTCCAGAAGGTCATGCCTCTGTGTAAAATGATCCATAGTTAATCTTTCGCACAAACTAGTACGTGTGATCAATCAGATTACCCGTGTTCTATATTTCCTTGTAATTAATACGGATGTTAGCCAGCTTGATACAAGATTTTGCCATTGAACTAGGCATATTAAATATCACGTCTTTAATCAAAGCTGGGCAGACAGATAAGTTGTTCAAAGACTTGATACAATAAAATAAAGTTACCTTGATCAGATGAATACAACTTTATTTTAATAATACAGTTTGAAGTGTAAAACTCGCCAGTGTTCATTATTATGATTTATATCATAAATATAATATTCCAAGCTATAATTATTTTCAAAATTAAAGATAATCAATTAAGCATAAAGATAATCAAGATTAAAGTGATGTAAAATCCCTAGATAAAGGACATTAGTGGTATTAAGCTTGTCGCATCATGTATAAAGTGAACATGACATTTTTATGTCCTCTCCCCCACCCCAACCCGAAAAAAAAAAAATTGTTTGTTTTTTGATGACAGATGACCAGCTGTGATTTATTAGGTGTATTTGTATATAGATTATCTATATAGGTAAAAGAGTACCAGTAGGTAAAAATAAACTTCATAGTTTATGTATAGTAAGGTGTTAAGATGTTTGTCTATGTAGCTGTTTAACTTTATTTAAAGGTGTAAGAAACATGTTTACTTGTAAACCTATTTTTACTAGGGAAAGTACAAATTACTCATTGGATTGTCCTTCATCTTGACCTTTTGTGTACCTATTGATGTAGATTGTCCAAACTTTGATGTTTACCTTTTGGTGTGTAAAACAAGAAACCAGGAGAAATGGTTAAAATGTAAAACTTTTGTTACATACATTTACTCAAAGCTTTTTTAATTATTTGTGTTCATACTACCTAATAAAGTTTGGTTAATTATGAATCATTGGTTTGTCTAGGGTGTTAGCCTGTGGTTATTAGCCATTCCCTAACAATTATGCAAATTAATTCAGTCCACTTCAATCGTGAGTTTTAATACCATCTTGTTTGTTTATAATTCATGAAGAAATGATGCCTTTGAATAATTATTACAAATGTAAATTATCACCTACGTACAAATGTAATGAATTAATGAAATGAGATTTACAGCTGTTTTAAGTTGGGGTTATATATTGCCTTATTTTCTAAAGCGTTTAGTACAAAGTCCATTCTAAATATGGAAATGAATAATATGACATGTGCCTTAATAAATTCTAATTTCAACCAAAAAATTGTTCAGAAAGGAACAATAAACATGACCATTAGATCATGGGTGTAATTGGCATTTAACATCAATTCTTTGAAATTGTTTGCTGCTTTAGAAAATAAACAAGGTCCATTTGGGTGCAAAATTTAAAACATGCAAATGAAATGAAGTCAGCTATTTGATAGAAGTATGAACCCCACCTACTTGTATGCCTTTGTAGTTTTTTATCTATAATCATGTCTTTAGTGCTAACATTAAAGTCATAGTACATGTTACTTTAAAGAAAACTTGGTCCACTTCTTTTTAACTAATTGACATCATATTTTTGAATTTTCATCTTAATGAAACTGACATTTCTTGTTTATGTACTTATCCAACATACATGTGATCATATCCAGTTTGTCTTATAATGTACAGTTAATTTATCAATGTGTATTTTTACTGTTAGTTCTCTAGAGTAACTTGAATAATGTAAATGGCACCTAATTTAAATATGTACTTTTAATTTCTGTCTGATATCAGATTAAGTTGCATATATATATGTTTGTCAATGTAACATACTGCTGCCAGTCCGTGGGTAGATGTAACTATTTATTAGTTAATAAATTACATAATATCAAGATGTATTAAAACTGACTTTCAATAAATACATCATGACATTATCACAACTCATCATAGTTGTATATCATATTTGCCTGGAGTTAAAGTACCCTGTATTTCCTGTTTGATTATTTTAATGAGTTTGCCTGCTGTTTTCTACTAATCAAACAAAATATGGTACCATTCTATCCTGTACTGATAGTACAGGTTATAGACAGCAACAAGCTAATTTTAGAAAGAAATGTGGACTAACTATACTACTGATTATTCCCTAGTCTTCATTTAGTATATAAATATATGTGTGGTAAAACTCATTCGTGTTTCTGATACTGAGGTCTGTTTCTGATTGAGAAATAAACAGTTGATAAAAGTAACCATGCTTTATCTCATCTTTGTGGTTATAAACACAGTAAAGATATTCCTGATCTTGAACTTAAATATATTAGTCAGTTCTTTCCTCTACTACTTGTATACTGCTTAGTACATAGTCCATGTACCATCTTATGAAATGTATGATGACTGAAATAATATGATGAACTTAAAATATAAGTACAGCAACATTAAGGAATTGTACATCGTACAGTACCACTACATTCTACATGCCTCATCTTCTATGCATCGTCAACAAATCCTCTGTGGATCATCTGCCAATGATTGGTTAAAATACTGCCAATAAACAATTGCTTTGTTTTTAAATTAAGTCAAGTTTACTTAATATTACATACATCGGCATACATGAGCAGATTATGGAGAACCTACATGTAGAATGTGGCTGTAATGTAGTTCTATATTTCTGTCAATGAAATAAATGACTAGTGTGATGACATGTTTATTTGTACAACAACCATGTTATTCAATTAACAAAATGTATCTGTTAAAAGGTTATGTCCTAGTCTATGTATACTAGATTATATATATAGGTAGAAGACTTTTGATGTGACATTTACTGATATGATGACATGTTTATCTCTTGTCAACACATAGTACAGGTATTTCATCCATTCTTGATGTTACCCTTTAAAACATGGTGGATAGCTAACCCATTAAATCCAAGTTCTTATTCTAACCTGAATATCAGATATAAAAACTGTTTTTTTTTTCGGCAATTATACAAATTATTATTTTAAACTCCAAATATTATGAATGGCCATTAAACTAAAGGAGATGTCAAGTTCTTACTTTAAACCAAATATCAGATTTAAAACCAAATTTTTTCTTTGCAATACAAATCATTATGGTTTTAAACTCCTATTATGCATGGCCATTGGTATTACTATTTATAGTAATACATTTTATGACAAATAATAAAAAATATACCAGATGTGATATTCATGACTGGATTTGTTTGCTGGAATGACCCTTTTACGTAAAAGTATACCTATACCAAAGTTATGTTAATAAATGCCTATTATACATAGTGTCACTCTGTGTATTTATTAGCAGAATTCTATGTTGACACTTTATGAATAGGTTAGCACATAAATCATACAATTTAGTATTATAATAAAGCATTTATATAGGTAAGTAAAACATGAATAGCTAATGACCCTTATCATGCAAATCTAAACTTCAAAACTAGCACACACTGTAAACTCGACCCAGCTTCTATTTCAACACAATTATTTACTGTGTCTCCTCCAATTATATAAATCTGCTGATAGCAATTAACATGACTACCTCCTGATAGGAGAACACATTTCTGAATATCATTTACATATGATCAGAAAAGCTAAAAGATGTACTTGAATGTGTCTCAAAAACAATTTCCCACTTTAAGGGATTATTAACAGACGTGATGTCTGGTTTTTGAAGAAAAAAGGACTTTCCTGCACGAATGAAGACTGGACATACGCCATGCAGTGTGCCATAAGGGACAAGTATTCTCCCGCCCGACAGTAGCTCCCTTTAAGTTATTGTGCATGTATTATTATAATAAACGCTATAACAAACTTTAATTGTAATGCAGATTACACGGCTATTCAGAAACGGTGGGATTCACAACCACAAAGTAATCCCACCAACGATGGCATGTGAAGGAAAGAAATAAATTATTTTTCTCATCATATATTATGCTTATTATTTTAATAATGCTTCAGCTCATAAGATGTCCTGACTGACACACCCATTAGTAATATGAAGAACACATTTTAACATCCCTACCCTTTTGTGAAGTTTGAAGGCTATGAACTGAATCTGACCATATTGAGAAGCATGACCAGCTACAGGATGCAAAGGGTGTACATATTGTACCACCCAAAAGATCAAACTGCAGCTACATGTATTAAATAATAAATATGTATTGGGTTGTTAAGATAATATGAGATCTTTTAAACTGTTTCTTTGGGGGGAATATTAACTTGTAACAATCTTAACAGAAGTTGCAAATACAATTATATTATTAGCAAACATCATGATATTTAGCACCCCCTCAAAGATTTCCGGATGTCAGCCGTTGATTAATAATTACTTTAGTCATGATAATCAAAGAAAGTTTTGGCACTTGTACATGTACATGTAGGTGCTTGATCTACAGAGTATAATTAAATGTAAATAACTATGCAACAGTGAGCTAGCAAACTAAATGCTCTTGTATTATTATAGTGAATAAACTGTGGGGAGTTTTTTCCTCTCCAAGTATAAACATTTTGAAACTGTATTTAATAAACCACATACACGTAAGACCTAAGATAAAGAACAAATCAGGTAAATTTTATATGGTAGCCATTTTGTAAAATGGTAGACAGGTTGTGAACAGTTATAAATTATCTAATAAAAGTATGAAGTTATTAATTAAGTCAAGTTATGAAACTAGGCTATCAGGTATGTTAGAGTAGCAGATGGTATTGATTATATTACAGCTGTTTTTAACTAAAATAACCAGTCAAGTTAGTTTAGATAAAGTAAGATTATAGTTTCTATCAAGTAAAAGATTGTCTTGTCGAAAAACTGAAGAGTTTCATTCAACCCATTTATTAATATGACAAACTATCACCTTGAAGTCTTTTAAATTGGTGTAATAGTATCATGCCATGATCATGCACAAAGCATGAGCATTTTTAAAGTTGGCTCTGATTGTAAAAGCCAAGCCAGTGAATTAGAATGCAACCATCTTACTGGACCCCACAACAGTGGTGATTAAATGCGCATACACATCCAAAGGCCAACAATTTGAAATACATGTAGCCCAACTTTACTGTAAGAATAATAATGTACCGGGTATCATCAATTTTTACTCTTTCTTACAGATTGGTTGAAATATTTCTCAGAATATGCCCAGGCTGTGAGCAGTACTTCCACGGAGACTTTTTACATGGAGAGCCAGCAAATAAAATCTTGTATTATTTATTGTAAAAATGTTTTTCAACATAAGTAAGTTACATTACAATGTAGATATAAGATCAATAAATGGTAGTAGAGGAACAGCTTGACATTTCATAACAAATGAAAATATTTATTGATTGAATGAATATAGATTACCACCACATCCTCCACATTCCTTCACTTGTTGATTGTTAATCCATTTACCATGACAGTAAAAACCTAATCACTATAAGCGATGTTATGTTTTAATCAATCTAATAACATTGATTAGTAAATAGAATTTTTTTTCATAATAAAAAGTCTCTCGTCATTCTAATACATGATGCTAACAGCTTGAATAAAACATATGCAATGAAAACCAAATAACTATTTCGATATTTCCGTGTTGTGTGTGATAAAATCTGCAATTAATTTGAAACAAATTTCAAACTAAACTCAACTAAACTGTGAATTAACTGAAATGTAACGTATGTCCAATTTGTTACTAATTTTGTTCGTTCGTGCTATCACCCAGTTTTAACATTATTTGTCAATACCTGTGGTAAAACTTAATTGGGTTTCTAGGTTTATGGTCAATACTGCCCACAGGTTCATTACACTACCCAATATATATAATGGACTGGTTAAACAGTAGCGGACAGTTATCTATTGTTATACCAATTCATCAAATTGATCCCAAACCATTTCAATACAAAGTCAGCAAAATAGTATCATTAACTTCTTTGTTCTGCTAATAGTCTGACACAAATAACCATTTAAATTCTATCAATCATTTACACGTTGGTTGCACTGTCAAACTCTTGAGACTAACAAAATTTATTTTCAAGGCAGATAAAAATGAATGAAATGGAGTTAAACTTCCTACTTTTCTGCACCAACCAAAAAGATCAAAGGTAATCAACAAGATCTGCAACCCATCAGTGAAAGTCGAAAGAATTTAAAACCAACAGTTGGTCAGGTCCAAAAGCTTTGGAATGGCCCCAGACTGACTAGCATGCTTCATGGTATTGTCTGAAGTGAAATAAAAACTGAACAAAAATAGTTTTGACATTTATTTTCCATAAAATATCTTTTAGATGTTAATGTGCATCTGTTAATGTTATAAATTCATCTATTTATTTCTCTATTTATTCACTTATCATGACCAAGTTCATGTATTATATATAGTTAAAATTCATGTAGCTGAGGAACAAGTGAAATATTTTTATTATTTCTTTTTAAATCAATTTCACAGAAGATCCATTCAACAAATGGGATAGATCATTGGTCAAGCCCATAAATATTTGACTCCCACCGACTAGAAATGAGAAGGCTTTAGTTAGTTAAATTCTTTCACTGCAATCTTATCAATATCATATTAAATAAACTTTAAATAAAATTTTCAAAGAGTATTCCCTCAACATTATCAAGCTAATAACTTTAAATAAATGTTGAAAGAATGGTCTTCGAAACATCATCCAAATATATTAGTAGCTGTTTTTCATAAGTACTGGTATGTGCTATAGTTTATTACACTATCCAGTTACCTTACTAAATGCCTGTAAAAGATTACTATCAACACTGTACATGTAGTTTGTGATATCAAATTGTCTAAACTACCATTACCCAGAGAGGGGAGCTGTTAGAAGAGTTCAAGTACTCTAGTTATAGTATCAAAAAACAGAAAAACTGGAAATTTATAAAGCGATTTTGGGGACCAAGCCTCCTACACTTATGTTACATAAACATCTCGAATGATTAATTAATGGTTTACTCAGTAATAAGCAATTACCGTGTTCTACATGTAATTTGTTTCAAGCATGATATATTTTGATGAAACACCAACATGGTAGTGAACTAAAACATCAAAAACAAGCAAACTTCAAAAAGCAGAGACATATGAAATGATCCAGACCAGACTGCAATCTCCCCAGGTAACCAGAAGAGGAAGTAAGCTATGAAATTTGATACCATACACAAATCTTATATCTGACCTTTTGACTGAGGTTTTGATATACATATAAGTAATGTACCAATACCTTAATTTAGACCCACATGACGGCATGATAGCCCAGTTTGTGAGTTCATAGATATCTACAATCGATATAATGTTCATACATAAGGATGTTATCTTTCTGAAATTATTATCAAATAAATATAACTTGATGAACTGGTGCACAATAATTATAGTTTATTACAATTACAACAAATTTATTAAGTAAATATGTTGAAGAACCTTAAGGAACCTTGACTTCACAAATGATTTAAAACACCAGATCCTTTCATATGAAACCAGTTACTGCTATGGAACAATGCTGCTACATGGCACCATTAACCAATGGGGCTTGATGTAGAAGTGTAGTCATACATACTTGTAGTATCAGGTGTCATATGGTTCATATTAAAACTAGTGGCAGGTTACGACTTTTGGCTTTATTACATAACCTTACAAATATCCTGTGTCTGGCTGTCTTATTCTCTACTAGTAGTAAGTACTAGTAGTAGTACTACATACATGGGTTGGAAGTTATAAGCAAGAAAACATTCTGTAAGTTCTTGTTAGGCACAATGGTTTAGAAATGCAGGTCAAACAAAGCTGCTTTCATTTCAACCAAATGTGAAACAGAATCAACTATGTCAATGCAACAACTTTTCAATTTCATTTGTTCTATAGAGAGAGATTTCGTTTTTTGTGGGGTTTATTTAGGGTGGATAAAATCTATATACTGATAAGGATGTCAGAATATTATATATGTTACATGGATATCCTGGCAGAAAGCCAGTTTAGTAACAGAATTAATGTACATGTACATGTATACATGTACTAGAGTTCATATACATGTATTTAACTAAATCAATTCCAATAATCACCTAAAAAAAAAACATTACTGCTGGAAATAATCTTTTTATTTTGAAAATCAAAATTGATACTGGTACGGCCAGTATCTTGTTGACTTTAAACTTTAACAGATGATTTATTTATTTGATATTTTATGAAGAATATCAACAGCCAGGGTCAATTTAAAAAACACTTCACACATTTTGATTAATAACTCTGTCTCTACAGAGATATCAATCTGATCTGTATTCTCTAACTACATGTATAGTCATTATTGTATTCAAACCCATCACCAGCTTGTAATAAATAATGACCATCTGAATCAAAGAAAGCTGGTCTATTCAAATACACACATGGTTAGTTCCGCCTTAAGTCCAACACAATGGTCGTCTTTATCAACATCAGTACATGTACTATACATCCAGCCTTTGACCACTTCATGCTGAAGACAACTGACATGACCACTGTCCTGAGTCCACCAAGCTCCATTAAGTACATGTATGTTATAGTGGTCCTTCAACCCTGTTCCAGATAATAAATCTTAATGATCTGCTTCACATTCCATGGGAAAGGATATAATTCACACATCTTTAAGATACATGTACCATACACAGTTTTCTATGTCTCATTTTATATTTTTGTAATTTAAATTGTAGAGTTATGGTAATTTCATTGACATCAACACTAGTTTGTAGAACTATTACACCTATATAATAATGTATGGGTGTAAACTTTACACGGTTAAGTTTATATGCAAACCCAGTTACCTAGTTCATATTTGGAATATTTGCACCCTCACCCACCCATGCATGCACCATGTTTGGGTTAGACATTTGTAATCAACAGGAAACAAATCATGGTTTTTATTTCATAGACTCTTTGCGTCATTATCAAAAATATTTGGAATATTTGCACCCAACCATGCACAATTCTCTTTGTGATATATTTATATGAAAGATTTTTAGTTATTATAAATACAATCTTTTTTTTAAATCCAAATTCCAAATGAGGTAATGGTTTGTTTGCCTATGGGCTTACATATACATTGTAACATTCATATTGAATTGCAGTACCGGTACATGTAGTGTACACCCCCTAATTCCATACACCATCCTGTTTTTTTTATACCAACATACATGTACACACAGTACATACATATCTAGGAAATCGGTTTTTGGTGTTCACCTGTCACTAATAATTTCATATTATGATTACGGAGGCATCCCCATTCATCACGTAATGAACTGACAGCTAGAAATTTCACGACAAAGGCAATTAAACAATGTCAGTGAAATGTTCACTTTTTAATACCTGTAGTCATTAACAATAGGCTTCAATTCAAAACATCCCATTAGTTGAAAATCAATCTCTAACTTAATCTGTCAAAGACCAGGATCTCTTGTCTAAAACTTAAGCCTACAAATCAAAGTAATTGTGAGCCACTTCTAAAGGAATCATCACAGATTATGTAGAGTATGAAAAGATGATAGACGAGAATCCCCATGGAATTTGGTGGTTATAAAAGATGTTAAAACAATGTGTTAGGATTTGATGGGTCTGGAAACAAAAGATTATAGTCTGTTATTTTTGATCTCTGATCATTCTCTTGAATAGTGAACAGATGAATAGGGATGTAATACATAATGTTATTAATTCTGTAGATCTAGAAAGGATTAAATACCAGGGAGTGGTAATAAATAAAAGACAGATTAGAGCAGATTAACAGTTTGATTAATCCCAAATTTACATGTGTAATTATGATTAATCTTACCCTCTAGTCTCATCGAAAAGATTAAGCTTAAATGTCAGCAATCTTAAAATATTTTTTCAGCAGAGACCTACATGTACATGTATCCAACCATTCATGGAATCTAGAAATCAATGAAAATGAATAACAAAGGGTCTCCCCTGTTCAAATACTAGTTTAAAAGACATTTTGTTCTTTTAATTGAGTACATGTATTCAGTCAAAAAGTCAATCCAAAAGTCAAGTCATTAAAATAAGTTGTCAAGAAAAGAACCTGTGGACCACCAGGTACACCATATTGTAAGGTTGACCTCAAGGTCAGGTTGAACTGTGGCCAATTACTGGTTTAAACTGACCTTATCTAGAGATAGTGCTTAACCTACGACCTTCCCTCAGTACCCCCACCCAAAATTGTTTCTATCAAGTTATGTCATATCATATTACTTCTAATAAAACCAGATACCTCACTTCACTTACTATCTATTCTTGGGGAATTAACAAGAAAATCTGTTCACTGTGAAATTCTGCAGAGCTATAAGAAATTCTATATTTTAAGACAAAATACAATAAAGCTTTATGGAAATGTTTTTGAATGGCCTACAATACACATAAAATAATATGTGGCATTAACAGTGGATGTTCCATGTTCACCAGACATGACAAATACAACCATAAGGGGAATTTCTGACTTTAATTCAATGACTTTATCTGGAAAAGCATACAAGTATATGTTGTTATGGATATTTTGGATATCTTTAATCATACCAATAACTGATTTCTAAGCAAGTAAATTAATAAAATGTCATTCTTCATTCAACTTACGTTGAAGACATGACTACACAAATACCTGAAATACAATCATTTCTCATTGTGCCTGCCACATTATGATTTGTTCTTTGGACATCGGTCAAAGAAACTACCATTCAGTACCATATTAAAACCTTGGTTTCTGTTTCTAGTTCATTTAAATTTTTATTGCGACTCTCATTGTCTATTAGTTGGTACATATATCAGTAAGAAAATGTACCACTGAGCACTAATTAATCAATTAAGATGGTTCCAACTGGTTCCAAGTACATGTACACCGAATAATTATTATTTGTGAATTTATTTTCTAAGATAAGTTTTTTAAATTTTGGGATGAAAAAAGATGATTGCGTGGCTTCCGATTCATTCAAACAGAAATGAATTCATAACCAGCAAGAGTTTTTACGGTTTCCTCTTTTCATTATTCTCCAAATTTCAATAACTGAATTGAGTTTTCTCTATCATGTTTCAATCTGTGGTTTCTCCATTATCACAAGAGAAATAAGCAGCTGAATTTTAATCCCACATTCAATAAAAATTCTCCTCAGCGAATCAGAAGTTTAATACTGATGCATATAACATAGCAAGCCTAGATTAGCAGGGGGCCTGATACAATTCATTCAGCCAGAATAGATAATACCCCTTTGCTTCCATTTACGTAAATCACTCAAGCAGCACGGGTCTACATTCCTCTATCAAGTACCATTAAAAATGTTTTACAATCTATATCAATGACAAAAATAAAATCATTTTTATAGCCGTACCCAGTATAAAGCAAATAGAATCACTTTCTTTTATTACCAAGACCAAAAGCAAACGACATGGGGTTTGATTCAAAAAGTTTCGTCAAGTTAATAGAAAGTATAAATAAATAAAGATAAATATTTATTTTATTCACTTACTCTATTAAATGATAAAATATATAAATATGGGCTCTAAAATCTCTGGTCAACCTATGCGAACACCATCCACTGTTTTCACTCAAGACACAATTCTATGAAATACAATTAAAGAATTGTGTCCAATCCAGTTCAATAACTAAATTTGTCCGTTGCTCCAATCCTATTTCATTAAAAATCCTGTAATGGTACTCAATGTTCTGGTTTCAGAAAAATAACATCCTGAAATTCCTTCCTACCTAATACATGTATTTCAATTCATTTGAATCTGCCCACAATTTCTTTACACTATGCCTACCTGAGATAACCCAGATGTTCACCGTATCTGCAATAAGGCTAGAGCGGATGGCGGGCAAATCCTGAAGCCTAGCCAAATTACATTCTTGCAATTAACTGTCAATTACAATTTTACAAACCATTCACAAATTCTATAGTAAAATGTTCAAAGTACATAATGTACTTTTTATGCACACTTTGCCAAACTGGAGCCTAGGATATCAAACCATATCACTTATGAAGTTATGTCAGATTAAGAATGAGTTTATACCATGCATAAAACATGATACAAAGACAAGGGTTAATATTTGCAATAGCAGCCTAGCCTAATCCATTACACTGGGAGGATGATGTCAAAATAAGGTAAGCTATTAATGCACATAGTCTTCATAATAATATAAACTGCTTAAATGAACATTTTGAAACATTGTATATTGCTAGACCTGCATGTAGTTTACATGGTATTTACTGTATTTACTGAGTGAGGAGTACCCCATACATGTAGTGCAATAAATCTCCAATACACATTAGCTACTGTGCACAACACATAGCCTGTAAGCTTATAATCCTCAATTAACCCACAGTGAATTATTACAGCCTATTGCATTCAAATGTACAAAGTGTGTATCAATCTGAACAACAGCTACATGTACACTCTACCTACAGTGAAGTGAAATTAGTTTCAAGCAATAGTTTTGTACAAATGTGTAATATACAAGGATAATTATGGTTTATCTTAACAAATAATTTAAATAAATAAGTGTAGGCCAGCCAGGCCTACAAATAAAATGTAAAAGCTTACCAGTGTAAAATCAAATACTTAGCCTTTTTTAAATGGTAAGTGATCAGCAAACAAAATCGTTTGTAGGATAATATGATTCTAATAACTCTCTTATAATATAAGCTTATCGGATAGGCCCTACTCAACACTTATAGTCTTAACCTATAGGATGTAATATTGACAAGCCATTTTGTGTATTTGTCTCAACTGTCAAATTAACTTATTAACTTTCATTTAATTACATTTATCATATAATTACTTCATTCTCACTTACAGAATTAATGGGTCATTAATACATTAATAAAATCAAAGTTACTTCCTTGTTAAAATGCAAGGTGCAGTTAAAAGTAATTTAATGCATAACAATTCACAGAGTCCATAATAATTCACAGAGTCCATAATAATTCACAGAGTCAGAGCATAGCCTGCACTCTGTAGTAACACATGAATATCTAAAATCACCTTTAATTCAAACTGAGATGGCCATAAAATTATAAAACAAAACTTCAAAATTGGTCGCCACATGGAAGCTTAAGATATATTTATTCCAGCAATATATGGATGGATGGGGGTGGTATTAATAATTCATGATAAGGATGGATTCAGCAGTAGCCTACATGTATGTAAATAAGCCTTATGTGTATCAGTGGCAGTCTATAGATTGTGCCACCCAGAATGGTCCTTGTATAATTTTGCCCCCTTCCCCAATTCCCAGGAACAACACAATACACATCAAACATTCTTCAACTAGTGTTATAGTATAACTATACAAAAAATCAAATTGTGCCAGGATTCTTGTTGTACTCTATCCATCTTCTGTCCTTGCTGAAAAAAAAGTAGTAGTACTAGTAGACCAAAAGAACCATAGTCCATAGGCCATATAGTGCCCTACCGGGTTACATGAAAGTACTGGGTGTAATTATAAAATGCCTTTATTTGTCAGAAACTTACCTAATGCTTCCACTAGTCGAAGCATAACACCCCCAACATGTTCATCACCTTTTACTCTTAGAACTTTTTCAACTTGTAAATCTGTCACAGTTATTTGTAATGTCCATGATCCATCCACACGACCGCTGTCTGCTATGAAAGCCATTTTTGAAACAGAATAGTACTCCAAATCTTTATAATCCTTATTCGCTAACACAATGGATTGCCGACATAGACTTTTGTCGGCTATTGCCAAATGTATGTTGACTTGGATTGCTTATCAACTGCACACCGAGTTACTTGAAGTCGAACGGATATCAAGTTTCTTTAAACGGCCCATGCCATTTAGACCATTGTAAACGAGTGTATAATTAGCAGAAATCTAACAGAGAAGACAACCTCGAACGTTGATTGCTCCTGATAAATGTAAACAAAACACAAAACGTGACAACTCCGTCTCTCAAATACTTTTGATGACAACAAACGAGAATTGGTAGGCTAGATCACACAGGCGGGTTGAATATGGGTCAATTTACGCTATTCTATTCTGTACAGAACAGGCGGCATAAATAATACACTTTGTCACGCCAATAACGAAATTATGCGTACCACGTGCACCTTCTCATATTAACAATAACTGAAATAGTGGTCCCACAGTAAGAATATAAATGTATAACCTTCTTTACAGTACTTTAGAATCTTCCTATCGAAAAGTATAACATCACTGGCTGAGTCAAAATCAACATGCCCCTATTAGGAAGCGCATGGTCAACACGTACCCGTATGCTACAACGTGTTTGATTGGTCCGTTATAAATATACACTATTAGTGGGAGGGGTATACTTTGTTGGTTAACACTCCATATCATTACTTTACACCATTTTAAATGAGACGTGGAAGTAGATTTTACAAGCCGCTCATTGGTAATCTGTTTCTTTTTACGCCCGGAAGGTTGACATTGCGTTGATTGTAGAAATTCCAATATTAAACCAACACTATGATTAGCCAATCAGCGTAGCCTTAGTAGCAGGAACGGGAAATACCATTGACAGTCGTCATAGACTCTTCAGCAAAACATTACGTCAAATGGAATCCCTTCCCCAGAATCAGGATTTTTCCTGATATTCCAATTAACAGAGTCTATTTTTAACTCCCCAGGATTGCTCACCATTATTGCACCCTTTTTAATGGTGTGGGGGAGGGGCAAAATTATTTTAATAATGAATTTAAGATTTCGACGAATTCTGCTTGTAACTTGTAGGCCTATTTTAAGCATTGTCGGTACTTGTACTAAATAGCCTAATGGGTTTTTTTTCTTCTTCTTCTTTACGGGCCGGGACAGGTGGTTCAGTAAGAGTGAATGTTAAAATATAATTAGGCATAGGTCCATTATAATATTGACCTAGAATTCCATTGACAGGACCTATTCCCCATTATATCTGCTGGGGCGTGTATTATCTGCTAAATTTGGCGGGAAATAACTCACGTGGGTGGTTACCCTTTTGTTTTGTCTTATTTGGTTTCTTTTTTTTAATATAGTTGAGATATTGGGGGCGGGGGGTGTCTGTTTATGGCGAAAAAAATGTTTTCCTCAAATGAATTGTGCATTGTAAAATATAGCCTATAGAGCTAATTATTTAGAAAGGAACCGTGTATTGGATTGCATATTGTCATGTAAATATAGGCTACAAATGGTTTAGAAAATAAAGTCCAAAATACCCTCATTCCATGTAACTGTATCTATAGGCTTGTCTATGCGTGCATTTTGAAATTTTGTAATCGTTTCACTAACGAATTTTGTAAAACGAAAATTGATAAACAAATTTTACTATTAGACAATAATATAATCGATTTTGTAGCACATTTATTTAATTCCGATAATAAAGACCCTCTATAATTATCGTGGTTCATTTTCAGGAAGGAACTACTTTTAGTTCTTTGGATGGAGGTCGTATGCAGTAGGCTAAGAACTTATGAATGAACAGTGAAGCAAGGGCTATATAGCAGCACCATGTTTATTTATGAAAGGCCACGTGTTGGGATCATAAGGTTACTCAACATACACCCTTATCTCTTTCAACTGTTGAACTTCATACACTGGAGACTGTTATCACTGACACTGGGAGTTTCCCTACAGGCATTCAACCTCTTCATTAAAATAAAGGAACCCAAAAAACATGTAGCCCTTTGTCCCCACCATATTTCTGTGAACACAATGGCAGGGTTGATCAATATTTCCCTATATTAAATATTTGTTATTGTAATGAAACCTGAGAAGTGCCCTTCTTTTATTTATGATTTATTGACTATGTAAATCAAGATGGAGGGGTTTCGATTATTTATAGAAAAATATAAAGTAGAATTGTTGTAAAAGCTGTTGAAATGAAGACCTGTCCTCAGAAGTAGTCTATACTTTACAAAGCTTTATTTAGATGTCTGGACAAAGCTGTTTGTTATTGTCTGACTATTTTACCAGATAACAACTTGCTGTTATGAAGTAAACTTGTATAAAATATATTGTAGTAATTGATTTGATAATACTCAACGGTTTTGGCTTAATTTTACTAAGTGTTATATGCTGTTCAGATGGTCATCTCTATGTTAACCTAGGGGGGTTGGATGGCTGAATGGTTAGCGTGCGCGCGCTGTATCATAAAGTCTGTCATTGAGTCGACTGGCGTGGTTTCGAATCCCCGGTTGTATGTGGCAAGGAGTAGGGTCGCCTGTCCAACCTCGTGGGTTTTCTCCGGGTCCTCCGGTTTCCTCCCAATGCTAAAGAACCCTACGAGCAAGCGAATTATTGAAATAAAATTAAAAACCATATGTTAGTCCCGAAATGACCTAGTTTGTGTCGAGTGGACGTTAAACCCCATTTCTCTCTCTCTCTCTATGCTAACCTGGAGTGCTGCATTCACACTTCCTATAAGCAAAACCAGCTTAACTGTTCTGACAATTTTAAGCTCACTCCTTCAGATGGCTAAGATAAGCCAGCCTAGAAGAAAAGTCTTCTTGAAGACAGGGAGTGTGAGCAGGGGTTTTGAACAGGTTTATTTGCCCCACCTATGAGTTCAGACAACAAAGTTAGTCAGCTTAAAACTAGCTTTTTTAGTTAGTTTTAGCAAGGATTTAGCAACTGACAATTATAAATTGTCTGTCCAAAGAATACAAATGATTAGATTAGATTCAAAACAGGTTATTTACAGGATACACAATTTGTGAGCTTCCACCCATCAATCCATCTTATCGATAAGCCTGAAAGTTCAGTCCTAAACACTGTGCAGGGGATTATTCTACAGTTTCAACAGTTTTTGACCTGTCTTTTCTAAAACCGTAAGAGGGTGGAAAAGATGTAAAGTGATGTGCTGCTAAAACCGTGCTGAGAGCCTGTGGATACATAGTGCTTATGATAAAACACTCATCATATTTAAATGGCCTATTCCTAACATGTCAGATCTAAACCTTCGCTTTTAATTCTAATCTTCCAAATGTGTTTCCAGAGATAGGTCTCTTCTACAAAAAAAAAAAGCAACTAAAAATCATGATCCATAGCCAGTGGAATCACATTTTCAAAGGGCTTCTGTGGAATCTCAGTAGTTATTAATTATTAGGGTTACACAGACATGCAAATTGGTTGTAACTATTTTCATGGGTGTACATACACTGGTCTAACTATAGTTGTGAAGAAGATAGTTTGCAAAAAGTACTGTTTAACACTATCTTCCTCAAATAAATTAATCATTGATTTTTACTGTCATTCTTTTTAGAATCTTGGTCCGCTGCCTCTGTATGCCTGTTTGGCAAATTAAAGCAATGTTTTAATGCTGTCTTGTCATTCTACCCTCAATCAAATCTGTATTTCTTTACAAAATTTACACAAAAATTCTAATGATATTAATCCTAAATTAGTCACTTTAATTGAAAGGTACCTATATAATTTGACTTATTGAAAATGAACAACAAAAGAAACCATTGCTGTTTTAGTTCTTTATGTTTTCATGATATATTATATACATATATAACACATTATTTTGAATAACAACAAAAATGTACAACTATGTGTAGTAAAGCAATAAAGACACATTTCATAAATATCACAAAAAATTAGGACGGAATGTTTAACATTGCTGACGTGAGAACAACACAATTGTAGATTACTTTACTCATAAATCAAACAAATCTACCATACTTTATGCATGAAATTTTATTTTTTGGCCAAATGACAAATAAAACATAATTCTTCCTGGTATTCAGCCTTCTATTATTGTTTGTTTGGGGATTTTTTGTTTACAGAATCTGATTTTAGGATGCAGTAAGAATTTCTGTAAACCAATCTACTGACTCATTAACCAGGATAGTTTAACACTATTATGTTTTTATTTCAGGAACAATTAACAAGTATAGTTTACATAACTAGATTGTTCTGCCCCAGAACCTAGCTGTATGTGAATAGCTTAGGAATCAAAACAAACCTGAACATTATTTGCAAGTTTGAATTTATTGTGGGTATTTTATACATAAGAAAGTCTCATACTGGCATTTGAAGGAATGTGAATCGTGTGCAAACCACAATATTGTAAAAGTTGAATCTCTAAATGAAATTATTAGTCCGAAAATGGTTCAATTCCATTCAGTATTTACAAAGATATGGCCTCTTTTTAATTAAATCGGAACCAAACCGGGAAATTATCTACCATTCATATTTTGATGTTGTTTTCTTAATTAAATGTCAGTGATGCAGGATGGAGGACCTGACAAGGACAGCTGTCTAGTTGCTTGAATGGTATGAAAAACCAAGGTCCCATGTACAAATTGGCATGCATGTAAAAGATCCCTTGACAGATGAAATTCGATATAAGAGTAGGCGTAGTACTGCTGTCTGGGCAAAAATTCTCTCATAGCACACTGTATGGCGTAAGCCAGTCTTTATTAGTCCAGTTCGGAGCAGAACAGTCGGATGTTAAACCCCATTTCATTTCTTAATTAAATGTAAATTAATCGAACTGAGTATATTGGATAAGGTTGTAAAAAATTAGATATTGTCCAAAAAATAAAAATGAAGGTTAACTTAAGAATTGTTACTTATGGCATTAACTGCAGCTAAACCACTGGTGGTGACAAACAATAATCAACACAGTTCTATATGTACAAATCAGTGTACATATTCTAAATTCAATCATAAATTCAGTTGTCATTTAAAGTAAAATGGTAAATAAAAAATAAATTATGCTGCTTGACATGGAAATATGGGAATAGGACGGAAATACAAACACCAACAAAATTTCTACAATAGATAAGAATAATAAATTAAAGAAGTGTGAAATGTTGTTTAAGTTGTTGGATAAGTTCTTTTGAATCAACATGGCCTTCATATGCATCAACTGCTCTTTTTGCTGCATTATAACTACTCTGTAGATCACCCAACTGAAAAACATAAGAAAACTAATGATCATTTTTCATAATATTGGTTACTCTAGAACTTTGCCATTAAATGTATCTAATATGCTGTTCAGAAGGCTAAATCCAGGTAAGTGCAAAGTCTTTATGGACTATAAGCAAAAACCAGATTAATTGTTCTGACAGTCACCTTTCAGAGGTTATAGTTAATTACCCATGCATATTGCCACAAAAAAGTAATGAAATTCACATGCCTTAAAGATAGGTTCCCAGAAAAGTATTTATCAGGTGGTTATTTCCAATAAAAGTATGGCAATTTTGGTATGTAAAGTAGAAATATCCAATCTTACTAGAAAAATACCCGAAAAACACTCATGGAGCGTATACAGGACAAAAATGTAAGGGATCCCCTAATCGACAGCTCGATGATTAGGAATACCTGCACGTTTGACATCAAAGGTTGCACACAGAGATTGAGCGCTTGATGTACATGTTGATAGATTTTATGACGAGTTAGCCGTACAACACTTTCTGAGATAAAAATCGCGGAAAAAGACAAACATGACCTCTTTTGATTGATTTTTTTATAGCAGGGTTATTCCTTGGCAATTACAATGTTTTGACAAGGATTTGAAGCAAAATCATGATAAATTAATTAGTTTGAATATGTTTTTAGTCCAAATATACCATTAAATCACCAAGTTTGTACGCGGGAATGTATCTTTAAGCAAGCAGAAGCTGGCAATTTAAAGGGAAAAGGTTCTGATGACCAACATTAGCCTGCTTTTTAAAAAGTCATCTCGACAACAGGTTTTATCTACATTTACACCAGCTTTGGGTTAAGATGACAAAGTTAAGCTAGCTCAACAATCGACTGTGTTTAAAAACTGGCCTAACTTAAGCTTCTGAACAACATAAAATACTCTATAACAAAGACTGAGGGCATACAATTCTAAGGCTTCTCTCTTCTGATTACCGTAGATGAAAAAACGTACCAAGTGTATATAAGAAATAATGAATGGAAGGAAAGATAAGTGACATGACAATATATTTCCTCTTCATCAAAAACTTGGTCAGTATCTAACTATTAACACCATTTTTTATCATATATTATCACTATCCCCTACACTGTTGATTTTACTAAGCAGTTGTGATCAATCTTCGCTAGAGTTTTTTTTAGGAAAAAGTAATATTTTCTGGATTAATAATGTAAACTGTAGATCAGAGAACATCTGGAACAAATCTACAGGTATATTCCATAAACAATACTTTAGGTAGTACAAACAAATGTAGGTCTACGTCATGATGCACATATCTGATCAATTTTGAAAATAACGTGACAATTGGAAGGGATCAAACACCTTTGGGGCATTCTTTTACACTAAAAATGGTAATGTAAACATCATTGTTTAACATGTAAATATATTAAATATCAAAGCATAGGAGGGATTATTTAGTCATAATAGCTTTCTTTTCATCTGCTCATAAGTTCAAATTGTCATGGGATTACCAGTTCATTTTGGACATCCAAAGCACTAGATATGAAACACTCTTGAAGAGTAAATCCTCAACCTCTATTTAACCTGTTGTAGCATTTTGTGAAGTAAAAATTATCAATGTTGACAGAGACAATAACTCAGCATAAAACTGATGTGTGATTCTAAAATCCCATCAAGTTTTAAAATAAATGGGCGGAATGAATTGAGGAACATTATCCTCTCAGCAGGGCAGTATTAAGCCAGGGGTCCCAACATGAAATGGGCCCCCAAATTTTATGATTTTATTTATTATCTTGTATAAACTTATGTTTGTGCCCCAAAAAATCTATTTACCATACTGACATAAATTGTATTTATGTTCACGAGTATGACAGGACCAGAATATACACTCTTTTTACTGTTGATGCAAGTTCCCTAGTGACATTTTCATCCAGGGGCCCCATGCAAGCTTAATCCGGCTAAAATGTGGCATATAAGAGAGCCTTTATTTAAAGGGCGTACAGCTCTTTTCTTTGGAACTTTAATATAATATACGAAAATTGGTCTAAAAGCAAATATTAATGTAATATGAATGTATATAAAGTGATTTACATGCAATTTTTTAAATATTAATAGTAATTTCTAATCAATTATATTTGGTGAAATATGTCAACAATCCAAATCGAACGGAAGTCGTTTATGTCTGCTTAGTCCATTCTACAGGTTTTTATTATTATTAGCTTTTCGTTTGTGAATGACACAGTACACGACGTCTTGTACTGATGTACTGATTTTAAAATGTTCATTATGTCTTAAGATAACAACATCAATATTACAAATATTATGGATAATACTGAGTTCGAGGTTTAACTCCTTTAGACTCTTTATATTTCAAAAAGATACATTTATTTTGCAGAAAATGTCATTTTAATCTTCTTGGGATCCCAACAGTAAAGAACAAAATAAGACCAAAACAAAACCATTACATAATGCAAATGATTCATCCAAAAACAGGATCAATTTCATCTCAAAGAATTCAATAACTGAAAGAAATACAGCCTAGTCCATAGGGTCAACCTCAGGTGAGTGGACAACAAACACAGCATGGAGGGAGGGTTAGATGGTCATTATTACATACTATACCTACATGTTATCAAGATAATATAGGTATTAATTATATATCTATTAGTAAACAGATATTGATCTAAGGTTTTATGTTTCAAAATACAATACAATTAATGGCATGGAAAGATTTAATCAAGATAATTGTAATGAACTTCACATTTTATACTAATTTTATGTCATCTAGTCCACATCAAAGAGAAAATTCAATTATACTAGGGCATTGGAATGCACGTTTTGTTAACATCTTTAGAATGAATGTTAGCTAGATCGAATTGATAAATATTACATCATATAATCACAGCAAAACATTTTGAAAACAAGAATAATTCCACTGATATTCTTCTCAAATGATTCATTAAGCCTGGAAATAAGTCACCTGTTACTGACAATGTCAGGCACAAATTCAGACTTTATCAGGTACAAAACCTTAAGCGCTTGTCATTTTGTCTGGCACTGATTTGTCTTTTTTTTATTGATATCAATAATACAATTATATCACAAATTTAAAAATGTCAGGTACTAGTTCATTCGAGCATGGGCCAATCTAGTCGGGGGATGCACACGCTATGCCCCCCGTCCCCCTTTTTCTCAGATAAGATCACAGGAAATGGCTTCTAGTTTTCGCAATTTTCCAGGGGAGGCCATTCGGACCCCCGGCTGTGCGTTTTGTCGTTCGGCACTCATAGCGTGCGGCTTTGCACCCCTTCTATCCATGTTCTCTGGATCCGACGTTGTTAGTGTCTGACAATTTGTAAGGTACAACTAAAATCATTATTCTGGGCCTGTGATTTTTATTTCTATGTAAAAAGAATTTTGAAAAGTTCTCAATTGAAACAATATAACCACATTCATAAAAGGCCACGATAAAGCATACCGTACAAAGTCCAGATCTCGGCAGCAATAAAATTTAAGAATTTGTGTTTTGTACCCATTACACTATCTGTTCTGGGTATGACTAAGGTCACTACTAATCTACTAATCACATTTGCATATGTACTGAAATAACTATATTTTAATGGAACTGTACTGGATCCAAAAATTAACCCACTCACTTCAGTGGACCAGTTCAACCTTTTCACGGTTCGGTTCCAGGTCCGGACTGAGTGCGGTTCCATTTCTGTTATGTAAATGGGGTTTTTGTGATTGTTGGTCAAAAGGAATTCAAAATTGTAAAGAACTGCAAAAAAATTCATTTGAAATTTTGTCTAATTACCATAAATAAACAGTGGAATTCTTATATGGATGGAATCAAACAAGCAATCTGTTACAGTTGCACATTAACCATGACAAGAGCTGTTAAATGAACAATAAAGACCCACTTGTCTGTGGTTGAAGTTGATTAAAAGAGAATCAACCACCAGAGTGAAACATTTCACGCTACATTTGCTGTCTGATAAATCAAAAAGCCCCTTCAGTTAGCCCCTAAATGGGGAGGAGGCATTAAATTAGCCACAAAGCCATACTTGTAACAAGGGTGATTGATTAAATTCTGGACAGTCTGAATGCTCCTTGATTATATGTTACGTAAAAGGCCAACGAGTCATGCATAATGAACATGTATTATGAAGGAAGCCATTGCAATGCTGTAGGATGCCAGTTTAAGAGATCTGGTAGGACTTCATCAATCAGAAAATTTCCATTTCAACTATACAAAATGTCTGACCACTGAAAACTTACAAGTTTGCAGCTATATTACTTCTTTACAAATTTGGTGAATTTCAAATTTGTGTCATGACATATCTTAAGAATTAAATTTCAAACATTAAGAAGTGTTTCCTATCTTTAGACAAACAGTTACACAATTAATATATCACATTACATGAAATATGATATTTACTTTATTCATTACGCAATTAAAATCTCTAAAAGGACAAACGAAAACAGATCTTGAATTATTAATATTGCGTCTTTCTCAAATGATTACAACAAAAGTGTACATTACATGTATGTTGCATTAATTATTGTTATTGCGTCTTTTTTAATCGATTTAAAAATAATTTTGAGTGCATTTTGAGTACTTAACACTGAATGAGTACTGATTATTGAAATCATGAATTAAAAAAGACAGTCTTGAGTTCCCAGTTAAGTACCATCTGTGCTGTCTTTGTATCTGAGCTAGCATTATTCACATGATTTCTCATGATAAAGTAAATATTTGAATCTCACAGATAAATCATGAAAAAGATTCATTACGCTTTTAGATTTTATAAATTTATTATTAAAACAGATCTCTCCAGAAATTTAAAGCAACATGTTTTATTCCAAAAGGCGGTTAAACCCCATTTCCAAAAGGAAATTAACGGTTAAACCCCACTTCATACATTCATCATTTATTCCAAAAGAATTGATACCCAGAAAATGGCCCTTGTATAAGGTGGGTGGACTGGGTGGTAATAAAGCTGTCACCATGTTAGTAGTGGATAT